TTTTTTTTTTTTCTGTCTACTATCCATTGTTAAAAGCAGCTTTAAAACTGGGTGATTTCTTTCTTTTTTCTCTTTTTTCTTTTGAGACAGAAGCTCAAGCTGTCACCCCAGGTAGAATGCTGTGGCATCCTAGCTCACAGCAACCTCCAACTCTTGGGCTCAAGTGATCCTCTTACTTCAGTTTTTCTATTTTTAGTAGACATGGGGTTTTGCTCTTGCTCAGGCTGGTCTCAAACTTGTGAGCTCAATCTACCCACCTTGGCCTCCCAGATAGGATTACGGGTGTAAGCCACCTCACCTGGCCTGAAGAGTAGGTTTTAAGAGCATATTTGGGACCCTAGGGTGTTTTCAAATGGATAGTCAGTCCTATGTGGATCAGAATAGGTTGGCCAATGGACTTCCAGCCACAGGCTCTACTCCTTGAGGTTGCCTTGTGGGAAAGACTCATAGCTAGCTTCTCTATTTGACCATAAAATGTAAGCCAATACCCAATGGCTCCAGGGTGTGTTTTGTCCACAAGAAACAGAAGTGATGAAATTCACAGGAACAGTATTGAGAACATACATAGGGCTTATAGACACCAGGCCCAGTAATTACCATTGGACAGAAGTCTACCTATAGTGGTGCTTTCATTGGGCTGGGATTATTGACACATTACACGTGTTTATATGCATATATAAAATGAACATTAGTACTGAAAGTCGAAGGACAGCTTCCGGGGAGTCATGAACTCTTTCACTATTTCATCTGTGACCTCCTTGCACCGTGCCTGGTGCTCAGCTACCAAGGGCTGGAGAAACCTCTATGAGCGTCTTCTTGAGCTCCTGGGTGAGCATGGCTCCACTGGTATAATCCTTCCTGATCTGTTCTAGCTTGTCATCATCCTCGAGGAAGAAGGTCAGGTACATAAAAGACACATCCACGTCACAGTTGCCCCCAAACTGCCTGTGTTCCTCAATGGTGTCTCTCCCTCCAGAAAATGCATGTTTATTGACCTTGGTCTTGATTTGCTTGGCGGTATCAATGAGGAAGATGGAGGAGTTGGGGTCGCTGGCGCTCATTTTGGTCTGGGCACCCTGTAGAGCGGGGAAGAAGGTCGAGTGCAGCAGGGCTTGTTTAGGATAGCTGATCCTAGGGGCAACGTCCCTAGTCATTCTAAAGTAAGGATCCTGGTCAATGGCACATGGGATAAGGCACTGGATGTCCGTCCTGTCTTGGAAGTTCTGTGGGAACGAGTTGCTGAAGGAGGGAGTAGCCTGGATGGCAGGAAAACTGATCTTCCCAATGCTGTCACTGTCAGTGAAACCGAAAATCCCTTTCACTTGGTTGAAGGTAACATGCTTCTGAATCTTCACTACATTCCTGTAGAAGCCTGGGCTCATCCCCATGTAGTCGAGGTCAGAAAATATGAAAGTCTTGTTGATATCAAAACCACAGGCTATGATGTCCTTGGCATTCTCCACGGCATAGCCATAGGCCTGGTCCAGGGTCAGGTCCTTCCAGAGATACTTCTCATCATCCGTCATCTGGATGACCAGGGGCACATTAAACACATCTTGCAGCCACTTTGTGAAGATAAATGGGATGAGGTGACCTACATGCATTGCTTCAGAAGAGGGACCTCTGCCCGTATAGAGATAAAATGGCTTCTTATTTTCATAGGCATCAAGAACCTGATTCATATCTCTGTGTGAGAAGAAGATGCCTCTGTGCAGGAAGTGGTGTGGTCTTTGGCCAGTGGCTCTATTTGGTTTACCAACTCTTTGTCAATTTTACTGCTTCCAAATCGAACAATGAGCTTATCATAGTCAATGCCTTTTGCACTGCTTGTCTGTACTGTCCATGGGTCCACAAAATCCTCTTCCACTTCTGTGGCATCTGATCCTTGATTATTCTTGGGTGTTGTGTTCTTTGGAGGGCAGTCAGCTTTGTAATCCTCCCCTGTGGCAACTTTGTAGCTCATTTTTAAAGATAGCAACATCTTCACTGCAGAATCAATTTCATCCTTTGGTGCCTTTCCAGCTTTGAGGGACTGCATGAGCTCCCCTTGTGTAGCTATGCTGTTAAACAGATCCACTGGAGAGGCACAAGACTTGCGGTTGGGCACGTCCGCCATATTTTAGGAACTATGTTCACAACTGGCCAGAGGGTCAGGAGATTCGTCCAGCAGTTGAGACAAGACTAGGTTGTGGGAGATACTGCAGAGGTGGCCACTGGTCATGCTGGGCAGTTGAGCAGCTGTGAATCAGTTGGCACATTTCTTAAACTGATTGAAGCTATCTATGACAAACCCACAGCAAATATTTTACTGAATGGAGTAAAACTGAAATCTTTTCCTCTTAGAACTGAAATCACACAAGGTTGTCCTCTGTCACCATTCCTATTCAACATAATGCCGGAAGTTCTAGCCAACACAGTTAGACAAGACAAGAAAATAAAGGGCATCTGAATGGGAGCAGAGGAAGTCAAACTCTCCCTTTTTGCTGATGATATGATCTTATACTTAGAGAACCCTAAAGGCACAATCAAAAAACTCTTGGAAGTCATCAAAAAATACAGTAATGTCTCAGGATATAAAATCAACGTCCACAAGTCAGTTGCCTTTGTATATGCCAATAACAGCCAAGATGAGAGGTTAATTAAGGATATAACTTAGCCCCAAAGAAAATGAAATACTTAGGAATATACCTAATAAAAGAGGTGAAGGACTTCTATAAAGAAAATTATGAAACCCTAAGCAAGGAAATAGCAGAGGACATTAACAAATGGAAGAACATACCATGCTCATGGCTGGGAAGAATCAACATTATTAAAATGTCTATACTTCCCAGAGTAATTTACCAATTCAATGCCATCCCTATTAAAATACCAACATCCTATGTTCAAGACTTGGAAAAAATGATTCTGCAATTTGTATGGAGGAAGAAAAAACCCTGTATAGCTAAGGCAGTTCTTAGTAATAAAAACACAGCCAGGGGTATCACCATACCAGATTTTAGGCTGTATTACAAGGCCTTAGTGGTCAAGACAGCATGGTACTGGCACAAAAATAGAGACATAGACATCTGGAATCAAATAGAAAACCAAGAAATAAAACCAACAACTTACAGCCACCTAATCTTAGACAAACCAAATAAAACATCCACATTCAATAAATGGTGCTGGAGAATTGGATATCCACATGTAAAAGACTGACACTGGACCTGTGTCTTTCTCCACTCACAAAAATTGACTCAAGAAAGATAAAGGCATGAAACTATAAAAATCCTCAAAGAAAGAATAAGAAAAACACTGGAAGATATCAGCCTGAGGAAAAACATTATGAGGAAGACTGCCATGGTAAAAGCAACAACAGCAATAATAAACAAATGGAATTTAATTAAACTAAAAAGCTTCTGTACAGCCAAGGAGACAACAACCAAAGCAAATAAACAACCTACCCAATAGGAAAGGATATTTGCACATTTTGAATCAGACAAAAGCTTAATAACCAGGATCTATACAGAATTTCAATTCATCCACAAGAAAAAAACCCAACAATCCCATACATCAATGGGGAAGAGAGATGGAAAGAATCTTCTCTAAAGACAACAGATGAATGGCTAGCAAACACATGAAAAAATGCTTATCATCCCTAATTATTAGCGAAATGCAAATTAAAACCACCCTGAGATATTAATAACCCCAGCGAGAATGGCCTATATCACAAAATCTCAGAATTGCAGATGCTGGTGCAGATGTGCACTTTTGCACTGCTGGTGGGACTGCAAACCAATACAACTTTTTTGGAAGGAAGTATGAAGAAACAAAGAACTCAACCTAGACCTCCCATTGGATCCTGCAGTCCCATTACTGGGTGTCTATCCAGAAGGAAAAAAACCCTTTTATTATAAAGACACTTGTACTAGGCTGTTTATAGCAGCCCAATTTATAATTGCTAAAATGAGGAAACAGCCTAAATGTCCTTCAATCCAGGAATGGATTGGTAAACTGTGGTATATGTATACCATGGAATATTACTCAGCCATTAAAAAAAATGGAGATTTTGCAGCATTTGTACTAACCTGGATGGAGGTGGAACACATTATTCTTAGTGAAGCATCACAGGAATGGAGAAGTATGAATCCTATGTATTCAACTTTGATATGAGAACAATTAATGACAATCAATGATGTGGAGGGGCACGGGGGAAAGGGAGACCAGAGAAGGAGGGAGGGAGTGAGGGAAAGGAAAAGAAGAAAAAAGGAAGAAAAGAAAAGAGTGACTAATTCTCACATAAATTGGATTTGATTTTGACCAAAGTACATTACCTAAACATTAATTTTTAATTCAACTTGTTAATATGTTGTTTAGGATATTGTATCCTCATTTATAAGTGAAATATGTTTGTAATTTTCTCTTTATAATAATATATTTTCTCAAATTTTAATATCAGGTGTATCCAGATTACATAGAATGATTTTAAAGTATTTCTTCTTTTTCTATTGTCTATAAGATTTAGCATGATCTATTTTTTAAAAAATATCTTTTACTTTTATTTATAAATTTTGTTGTCTATTTTTTGAGACTTTGGAAAAAAATAATAATGAGAAGTTAACTGCAGGAGGCTGAGGCAAGAGAATCGCCTAAGCCTAAGAGCTGGAGGTTGCTGTGAGCTGTGATGGCACAGCACTCTACCAAGGGCGACAAAGTGAGACTCTGTCTCAAAAGAAAAGAAGAAGAAGTTAACTGATGACTCTATACTGAACCTCAGAAGCATTCTATAATAGACATACTCTTATTTGACAATATGAATGTTACTTTCTTTGCATTATTATTATTATTGCTTAATATTTTGATGCAGAAATTGTCTGATTTCTTTTCTGAATGTATTTATCTTTGTTCATTCTTTACAAGGTTTTTGTTTCTAGTCCATATCTTTTTTTTTTTTTTTTTTTTTGAGACGGAGCCTCAAGCTATCCCCCTGGGTAGAGTGCCATGGTATCACAGCTCACAGCAACCTCCAACTCCTGGGCTCAAGTGATTCTCCTGCCTCAGCCTCCCAAGTAGCTGGAACCACAGGCGCCCGCCACAACGCCTGGCCATTTTTTGGTTGCAGCCATCATTGGTGTTTGGTGGGCCTGGGCTGGGGATTTGAACCCACCACCTTAGGTGTATGTGGCTGGTGCCTTAGCCGCTTGAGCCACAGGCGCCGAGCCATCTAGTCCATATCTTAAACATTGTTATTGTTATTAAATGTTAAGCCTTTTTAATTTTGTGAAGGCAAAAAATGGAAACCTAATAAACACATGTATATGTAAACAAAATTCTACTTAGACATGCTGCTTCTAGAAATATTAAGGGCAACAGACTGTGAACATGAAACTGAGTTCTTTCCAGAGGCTTATTCTGTGTCATTGCTTGGAAGCAAAGGCTTAGAAACCCCCAAATTGTCCAACTGTAGTGAAATGTTGTGTAACTCATGGATCTTTCTTCTGATATAATGTTAGAAAGATAAATGTTTAGAAAGAACAAATTATAACATGAATACAGTTCCTGTTATAAGATTAAATGAAAAAACATAAAATTGTACCTTTGGTACTTTCTCAACAAAGTAAAAGACAAAAGCAATAAGGACAAAATAGGAGAGAAGTGATATAAAATTTCAAAATATTATCAGTGGTTATCTTTAAAGGAAGAGATGATGTGTATTTTGTTTTCTTCTTTTTCTACTAGTTTATGTTTTACAAGTTGAATGTAGTGAACATGTATTGCAAAACAAGCAGGTAAACAAAGAAACCAGCACTTAAAAACTAAAGAACCAATAATGAATAATTATTCCAATAATGAATAATCACTCGCTATCAGAATCTTTAGACCCACTTCCAGTTGGTTGATTTGGGAGCAATCCCCTAATATATCTATCTGTGCCCAGTTTCCCCTTCTAGAGTTATTCTTGCTCTCTTTGTCACCACAAAACCTATGTCTTGTTGGTTCAGCTTTCTGTACGTGCAGGTCAATACCTATGAGTGAGCTGCTTCCAAATCTGAGCTTGGGAATAGTTCCTAAAACTCAGAGGAGGGGACCTTTCCCAGATCTTGTCAGCATTTCTTAGTCGTAGACTAAGCTGCTTGCTGAGCTTTGGGATGATGCTGTTCTCTTAGTGGTTCCATTCTTTGGTTTGAATCTTCTTCCATACCTGTCCTAACTAATGAATTTGGTTACCCTGTAGGAAATACTTGTCATTCCCTCTGTCCCGTTTGCAGCTCTGTCCTTGGACAGTTGGTCCCATTCTAGTCCTGTCACATCAGGCATTCTCCATTTGTTAAACTTGCTAGCAATGCTGAATATCCATCTTGCCTGAAATTTGAGTTATTCAAAATTATAATAAAAGAGTCCACTTGGGAAGGCATTTAGAGGAGCCTGGGGTTGTCCTCTGGGGATGTTTCCTTTACTGAGTGGAGCATTTTCTCAAGCCAATGAGTCTCCACAAAGCCCTCTTTATGTCCTGGTTCCTCAGGCTATAGATAAAAGGGTTCAGCATGGGGGTGACCATCGTGTATACTATAGATACCACCATTCCAGTATCTGCTGAGTAGGAGGATGAGGGCTGTAAATACACCAGGAAGAGGGTCCCATAGAAGAGAATGACCACTGACAGGTGAGAGCCACAGGTAGAGAAGACTTTGTGCTTCCCCCCAGCAGAAGGGATCCTGAGGATGGTGTGCATGATGTGGACATAAGAGACCAAGACACAGGTGAGGGGGATGACACCTGAGGGAACTGATTCAGTTAACATTGTGACCTGAAAGATATGAGTGTCTGAACAGGCAAGTTTGAGAAGAGGGGGTACATCACAGAAAAAGTGTGGGATGGAATGGGAGGCACAGAATGAGAATTGAGCCATTAGACAAGTAAGTGAGAAAGCCACGATGTGGGAGCAGAGCCAGGATGCCAGCACCAGTGTCAGGCAGCGCTGGGGATGCATGACTATAGTGTAGTGCAGAGGAAGGCAGATGGCCACGTAGCGATCATATGCCATCACGGCCAGCAGGAAGTCATCCATCAGGGCCAAGGTAATGAAGAAGTACATCTGCATGAGGCAGCCGGTGTAGGAGATGGTGTGATGCTGTGTCTGGATGTTCACCAGCACCTTTGGGAGAATAGTGCAGGTGAAGCAGGTATCGATGAAGGACAGGTTGGCCAAGAAGAAGTACATGGGGGTGTGGAGGTGCTGGTCAGAACCGATGGCCAGGACGATGAGCAGGTTCCCCAATACAGTGACTATGTACATGGCCAGGAAGAGCCCAAACAGGAGGTGCTGCTGAGCAGGGTGTTCAGAGAAGCCCAGGAGCAGGAAGTCAGAGATGGTGGTTTGGTTTTTAATTTCCATTTAAAGTAGAACAATTGGAGGAAAATCTTTCTTAATATAACTAGACTCCAGAAACTTGGACAATTCAAGATGTTTTGTCTGTCTTCTGTGTTCCTCTCATATATGTCACAGAGATTCACTGGTCTGTCTTGATGGTAGACTTGTAAACATGAGGACAGGAGAATATAGACATGAGAACTGTAGACAATGATAATGGGAAATATAGTTGGGTAGTGAATTTTGCATTTTATATTTATTACATTGTGCTGAATTGATAAAGCAGAGCTTGAGATCAGCTGAGAAGACTGACTATATCTCTGCCTCCCCTTTTCATTCCCTTTTTTAAATATTGGAAACCTATCAGTTTCATAGGCTTGTGAAATTTGAATAAAAGACCTTGAGTGTATGAATTTACTAGAAAATTATTAAGCAGATGTGTGTGAGTGCGTATGTAGCATGTGCTATGTGTTGGGGGAGAGAAAATTGGCTTTATTTAGTTCATATCTGGGACTTAGGTATTCTTGATATGATGAAAATATCTACCCTCTTTTTCTGTTGAAGACCCTTCAAATAAAATAACTTTATATACTCAAAATTGTGTTAGAAATATAAGAACTCAACATCATTATCATCAACAGCATTTCCAAAATCCCAAGTCACTGGAAGTATTGGGTTTAGCATCTTATCAACTAGGTGGAAATCCTTTCTCTGTCTTTCCTAACTGTGTAATTTTCTGCAATTTACACACCCTTTTATTCTCTCTGAGCTTCAGTTTCTGTGGACTGTAAATGATGTACATATTTTGTATTATTGCAGATAATAAATGAGATCAGAAATCTAAAGTGCTAGCATAGGTTAGACATTCAATATACATTGTGATAGTAGTTCTTAATATTGTTAGGAGTAGCAGATCAAATGAAATCTGGAGTTCCTAATGCCCTGAAAAATGTTAGCTGACATACTTCCCAGCTCTAACCCTATATCACCCTCTCTATTTTAGGTAAATTATTTCTTCTGAGCCTCATCTTCTTCATTTTAAGACGTTGTGATGTATAGTTAGACCCTTTCTTTAAGGAAAATGAAAAAAAATTATCTAGATGTGGTGGCATGTACCTGTAGTCCCAGCTGCTCAGGAGGCTGAAGCAGGAGGATCACTTGAGCCCAGGAGTTCAAGGTTGCTGTGAGCTGTGATTTCACCATTCCACTCCAGCCTGAGTGAGAAAGTGAGACCCTATATGAAAAAGAAAAGAAAAAAGATGTAGACATAAACCTGCCATACACAACTGTTGAAAGCATCAAAATTCTGGAATTAACTAAAGCCTTTTTCAGGACCTCTGATTTTAAAATCTGAGTGAGAGATTCTAACTGGTGCAATTGAATGGTAAACAGACTTTGCTAGCCTGTCCTATGCTACTGTCATATTGTTGGATGTGGTGATAAAACACATTCCCTCTGGGTCTCACAAATCTTCATTGGGCTGTGGTGTTGAATAAGTTGGTTGGTCTTTCTGGCTTCATTTTCTGCATCTGTTGAAGAGGGAAGGAACGATACCTCATAGCGTCGTAAGGATGCAACTACATAAAGATTGCGCAGAACGGTAACAATTACTGGCTCCCATCTAAGGCTCATCCAATGTTAGTTTTTCTTGATATTCTCATTTCTTTTGATAGTGTTAGCAGAATGAAGGTGCTTCCTAGGACAAGTAACTAGTCCTTTGCATTTGCCCAGGACTTTTCTGCTTTTAAAATGGAAGGTCCCAATTCTGAGAATCCCTTGGTAACTGAAATGACTAGTCACCCTATCTGTCACTTTTCATGGTCTACATCTATGGGAAGTTGGTTAATTTTTTTTTTAATTTCAAAATAATGAGGGGGGCTACAATATCTTTATTGCATGGATGCCTTATATAAGGCTTAAGTTGGGGTTTTTAGTGTGCCCATCACCAGAATAGTGTTCACAGTACTCAGTCAGTAAGTTTTTACCCCTCACCTCCTCCCACATTTCCCCCTTCTTGTTTTCTTTTACATGTACTGTCTAACAATTGGGAGCTGAATGTTGAGTGCACACAGGCATGAAGAGATGTAAACGGTTTTGAAACTATGAAGTTTAATAAATAGAGTTGTAACTGTCACTGCCATTAGTATCATCATCATGACCTTTGGGTGTCAGTGGCTCTGACATAGCAGTACCATGACAAAGCATCTACTTTGCCACATGCAGGCTCAGGCTTGAGTTACAGCTGTAGCATCTTGGTCAAGTCATTTAACTTCAATTACATAATGAACCTAAATGTATCTACCTCACATGATTCTGCATTCAAATTAAAACAAGAAAAAGAAACAGAATAGAAAGAACTATTAGTTGTTATAGAGTTGTGTTGCTTTTTTTTTTGAGACCGTGTCTCACTCTGTCACCCTGGGTCTAGAGTGCCCTGGTGTCAGCTCACAGCACCTCAAACTCCTGGGCTCAAATGATCCTCTTCCCTCCACCTCCTGATTAGCTGGAACTATAGGCGTCTGCCACAAGAACCCACTAGTTTTTCTATTTTTAGTAGAGATTTGAGATTTCTCGTTCTTGCTCAGGCTGGTCTCAAACTCCTGATCTCAAGCAATCCCCCCACCTCTCAGAATGCTAGGATTAAAGGCATAAGCCACCCCGCCTGGCCTGTCAGTTGTTATAGAGACTGTTACTGTGCATGAACAGTGACAAGGAATGATTCTGAAAGCCTCTCATGATTGAGTGGTCTGTGAATAAATTGTCCTTGCATAGTACAGGGGTCCTGGGCACTGTTATTATGTGGTTACTATATATTGGCAGTTGCCAGGAACTTGGGAGTGGCTGATGTACCTTGATTCAGGCTGGATTTTCAGGGAGTTCATGAATTTTGAACCAAAGTCTTGCTCATTGTGATCAGGAGAGTCAGGTTGTATTTGGCTAAGAGGGAAGGAAGGTCAGAAAAAGATGAATGAACGGGGAGAAGCTGTGGTGTGTGTGTGTGTGACTAATGTTCCCATTGCACCCTCACCTCTTACCTGGAAATTCTGACCATGCTGAGATCCTGACCCCTTGACTGGTGTTGAGCCTGTCTCCTCTGTTTGGTCTGCCTCTCCTACTTCTGTCCAAGAGCACTGAGGGTAGTGATGGGGGCCTCAGTGTTCTTCCTCTCCTAACAGCAATACAGACTGAAGACAGACTGAAGCAACCTGTCGTCAGATGCAGGAGTCAGGAAGAGCCATGGGCTTTTCACGTGCAGAGTCTCCTGGGGTCCAATCCCAGACCTCTTAGTTTGAGACAAGATGGGGCAAATGTCCAACCTCCAAGCTGTCTCCTCTGGATTATGGTCCCCTGAGTCCCAGTAGCATCAGTGATGCCTCAATTCAGAGTGACCAGGGGTGGGATCCATGGAGCTGGCTTTTCCCTCAGGTGAGCTGCAGGTGGGATTTGTCATCTTCTGTTATCTGTGCCATGACTTGTTCATGGAGCCCACATTGTTCTCATTAGCACCCAGCCTTCATGGATGAAATACAGTAAGTTCCAAAATAAGAAAAATGTAAAGAATAAAGCATATCAGAGGTCAAAATCTTTACCTTCAAATGTTATATGGTGGAAGGACCATTTTTATTCTCTATGACCCAGAGAACATGGCCAGTATAACACCTTTTCTAGATAATATTTACACTCTATATTTGGTGCAGGTGTATCCCTGGGTTTATTTATGTTACAAATATATCTTATGTGCAAAAGAACGTATAGAACACATATGTTCTGTTTAAATAATGACAGTGAAATTAATGCCCCTTCTCCCAATACTCAATGGAAATAGTATATGGCTCAGTTCTTTAGAGGGCCCATGCATGCCTCTTTGTAATCACATTCCTTTCTTCTCTCTTTAGGAGAAATCCCCATCTATCATGAGTATTGTAGACCATTTTCTTACTTTTCTTTGTAGTGTTGCCACTTTTGCACATATGTCTAAATTAGACACAGCATACTTGAGATTTGTCTGTTCTGTCCCTTTGAATTACACTTTTTTTTACATTCTTTGGTTGCTTATTTTGTTCAGCATTATTTATTTCTGTAGGCTCATTCCTGTGGACGCATGTTGCTGAAGGGCATTAACATCCTTACTATTCTGCGCTGGTTAAGGGTCTCTTATTATACACTTTTGCCTACTGCATTTCAGAATACAGAACTGAAATACGCTGGTTTTGGATTTGGAATTATTTGTATGTCATCTCAGATTCTCTCAGCAGGTCCTAGGGTAAAAATATGTAATCAAACTGCACAAAACACAAATATATGACCCAGGAATCTATTAGAAACCAGTCATCTGCTAATCATTTAGTAGATGCACGTTGAGAAGTAGAACAATGCTGCATGTTGCCAGTGTGTTCTGCTAATCATTGTTTTTCTTTCCTTGAAGAATCCCTGTACTCTTTCTAGCATTTTATATACGTCTTGCCTGTTTTTGAACTTTGTGTAACCATACATTATATATTCTTTTCTTTTTCTGGCTTCTTTTGTTCAGTATTCTACATTGGTGAGAATATGGAGATTACTGCACATAGTGGCAGTTCATTGCCATGAGCTGCTCCATTGCATAATGGTGCCACATCTTATGCAATCTATTGTTGAAGGAACGGTCATCTTTTTTTTTTTTTAAATTAAATCATAGCTGTGTACATTAATGCAATCATGGAGTACAATGTGCTGGTTTTATATACAATTTGAATTTTTTTTATCAAACTGGTTAATATAGCCTTCATGGCATTTTTTTAGTTATTGTGTTAAGACATTTATATTCTACACCTAGTAAATGGTCATCTTTTTGTGTATTAAGCATAGAATTGTGGTGATCACTCTAGTACATGTTTCTTTTTAAGCACATGTATTCTTTTCTATTGCATACATATGTAGGTGTGTAATTGCTGAATTCTAGAATGTCCATATCTTCAGTTTTGGCCTAAAATGGCAAATTTCCAAAGAGACTGTACCAAATGATACTTCTACCTGCAATGTGT